GTTTGGTACCGTTAAGGACCGGCTGGTTCTGGGAGGGAGCCATAAGACACCTGAACTTGGACTGTGCTTTGCTTCCAGTCTGTATCGTCCATAACCAGCTCAGCAGCGCCACCTGGCTGAGGAATGTCTGCTACCAGCTGATAAAGCAGCCATCTGGTTCAGGTTCCAACAAAAACCCAAAGAACCCAGTTCTAGAAGCAGAACTCATGCTGTGTTCTGCTCTGGTCTCTGTGCTTTAATTACTGATGAATCCGTTAGTTTTCAGTTGATCACTCTGTTGATGAAACGTTAGAACAGCAGCCAGTGAAGGAACCACGTCGTCTTTACAGGTTATGTTTCACTGAAACCAGGAATCTTGGTTTGATCCGGTGAGCTGAACCTCTTTGGACTAAACCAGACGTTGGAGGAACGTTTGACTGTTTTCTGGTCGGTCCATCACTAGCTGAAGCCGTGGTCCGTTGCTGCCTCCTCCCCGACCGTCGTGGGTCAGACCGGGTTTTCCGTCGTGTGGTTTCTGCTGTAGGAGGATGTGGAGAGCTGACTGCTGTGACTCACTGATCGATCGATTATTGGTTGAGGGAGTCCGGCTGGACGCTGCTGCAGCTGCTTGGTGTCGACGTCGTGACTCATCGTCCAACCATCCGGCTTCATAGTTTTCTGGTGCCTCATGTTTCTGCTTCTCTTTAATAAACTCAGTTATTGAGCTTTTGGTCCAAACAGACTTTGTAGACGTTAATAAATCCGCTCATGGCAGCTTCTGAGCGTCCCTCTGACAGCCCTCATGACTCCACTTAGTCCTGGTTTTATGAGACCAAGCAGCTTCCTGTCAGCTGGATGTGATAAAGCAGGACGGCGTGAGGACAGCAGTGAGCAGAGGTCTGCTGGGACAGCCAGAGCTGCACCACCGTCCACTGGACCGAGCTTTGACGTCCAGTTAGTGTTGAGACGACGTTACAGCCGGTACCAAACCCAAGTCTGAGAAGTCGTCATGTTTCTGCCTTTAGTTCAAACTGATGGACAACAAGGAGACTGTAGACCTTATAGACAACAACCACTACATCATCTACAAACAGAAAGAAGACAACTTTAGGTGTGTCCAAAATGTGCAAAGTGGACTAATACAAAAAAACCACCACAAAGAGACACAAAACAACCACAAAGAGACACAAAACAACCACAAAGAGACACAAAACAACCACAAAGAGACACAAAACAACCACAAAGAGACACAAAACCACCACAAAGAGACACAATAATCACAAAGAGACTGTAGACCTTATAGACAACCACCACTACATCATCTACAAACAGAAAGAAGACAACTTTAGGTGTGTCCAAAATGTGTAAAGTGGACTAATACAAAAAAACAACCACAGAGACACAAAACCACCACAAAGAGACACAAAATAATTACAAAGAGACATAAAACCACCACAGAGTCTCTAAACCACCACAGCCAGCCACAGCGCCCTCTCCAGGCGTACAGCCGGCTGTTTCCTGTCTCTGACGGTTCTGGTCAGCTCTGTAGTTCTGCTGCGTCTCTACTTCCTGGCTAACGGAGTGTATTAACGTGTTGACCCGGTTGCTGGTGAGCGGCGCCTCCTCTCTACAGGCCTGGAAGCTGCCGTTCTGCTGCAGCAGCACAAACAAAGCAGGCGTTTGTCGCTTTGCTTACATTTGCCTGGCTGGCAGCTGTACGGTGGCCCGCAGGGACCAGCCCAGCGCCGGGCCCCGCCGGTTCCTGCTGCTGCTGCCTCTATTTAAATACCACTTCCTGTGCCGGCGGTCGGTTGTAGGACAGATGATGTGTTCGGCTCTGAGCTGCTCGTGAACCAGTTCAGTAAGAGGCGCCGTGATTGGCTGGCCGTGTCGACCTGGTTTGGTTTCAGATCCTCTTTAAAGTAGACCAGCAGAAACACTGGAGCACCACGGCAGCGTGGTGGGGTTCTGGAGGGGGACGGGGCCCGCCGTGGCCTGCTGCTGGAGGCGCTGCTCGCTCAGCGTCTGGACGTGAACATGAAGAACGTTAACGTCCCCGTCGAGCCGCCTTCACGCTGTTAGAAAGCATTAAAGATGAAACCTGAAACCTTCCCCGTCATGTCTCCTCATGTTCTGGTTCTCCGTCTGGGTTTGGCCCAGTGACGGTTCTCTCACTCATTCAGTCTGTTTGTAGTGATTCCATGTGTTTGTCTAATTGGGGTTTTTGCATCGTTTTGTGTGTTTTGTGGTAATTTTGCCTGTTTAGCTGTAGATTAGTGAACTTTGTGGTGATTTTTCCTTTAATGACAGTGTTGCGTCTCTTTGAGGTGATTCCGTCGTTCTTTTTGGTGATTTTTTTTTGTCTTTGGATTTTTTTCACCTTTTTTGGTGGTTTTTGCATCTTTTTATTGTGGTTTTGTCTTTTTCAGGTGATTATACAGTTCTTCCTGGTAGTTCAGCCTCTTTTTGCCGTAGCTTTGTGTGTTTTCGTGGTCATTTTGCGTCTTCGTTGTGTCCAGGCTTGTTTCTCTGAGCCTGCACACGTTTGCTCTCGGTCCGGTCTACCTGTGGCTTCCTGTCTCACCTTGATTGCTGTGGACTAAAGCTTTGCAGACAGCTCGAGTATGAACGAGTCCTCCAGCAGCTCCAGTTGACGCTCACGGCGGCTCTGGTTCTGGTTCTGTTTGCCCCAGAGCTCTTCTCCAGTGGAGACGTCTCTGCAGCCTGTTTGAATGACCCAGTGTCTACGTGCTGCTGGTTTTAGGTGTTTCAGCGACACGTCTGGTATCTTCTGAGTGGATCTGGGCTCCGCTGATCCTCCCAGCTTCCTCCGGAGGCCAAACAGTCGGTCTTTGTCTTCGGGTCGAGCCTCGACACGCCGTCATTCGCTGGAATTCCTCTTACTCATGTAGCTGCAGAACCAAAACTCTGTGTTCAGAAACAGCCTGAAGGAGGACGAACGCCACCGAGTTCTGTGTTCGGTGTCAACAGATGACACTGACGGGTGGTTTAACGACGTCAGACTGAGTTCTACATGAACGGCTTCAGTCTGAGGAGAGTTTAGACCCGATAGTCAGATTGAAACTCTCACTGGGCTCATTCTGCAGCATCATCAGGAGAGTTTGGTGCTGATATCTTCAGCTGTTTCAGCCTGTTTTCACCGTTCACAGTCCGTCTGCAGAAGCCGAACCAGGACCAGTTGTTTGTGAACTTGTCCAGAAAGTTTTGTGTGTTTTCAGGCTGATCTTAAAAGCTTTTCTAATCATTCTGTCCTACAAACTAAATCACAGCAACAGTCTGACCTCGACAGGAGATGTGCTCGGAGACAGAACGACGGTGAAAGTCTTTCCTCTGACCATCAGACGTCTGAGAAACGGATTCAACACACAGAAGTTTAGAGGAAGCTGCAGGAAGTCACTGATGTGTTGAATTCACTGGAGCCTTCAGTCGAACCAAATCAGACGTTTAGACGCTTTAATTCCTGAGTCTAGTCCAGGATGTTTTATAGAGTGTCTACAGTTATTTATGGAGCAGTGAGAGCGCCGAATTACAGAAATACACCAATAAAAGAATAATGAAATAAAAGAAGAATAAATAAAATGAAAAATAAATAATGTGGCAATATTAATCACAAATGAATACATAAAAGAAAAGGCGAATAAAAGTAGAAATATAAAAACAAACAAAATAATAATCATTTGTTATTTTATTTGTATTTATTTATTTTTATTTTTT